CTTGTTGGCCGGACAAAGCAACAATAAGCCGATCAGTGGTCAATTATGCTGCTCCAGTGTGGTCTCTTTAGCTGAGTGACACTCAGTGGAGAAATATTCAAATAATGAAGCAAATCGTGCGACTTCTAAAGTCTTAAAACTATCACCATCGAAATCTTGAGCAACACTCTTCAACACCTGGACGAAAGCGGTAAACATGAATTTAGCCATCGTAATCGATGGAACCCAAATACCTACTGTGGATCACATAAAGGTTTCGAGAGGTCACCTTTGACAGCCTGTTTCACTCCTCAAGTAGAAACAAGGTCCTCAAAGAAACCTTGTTGGCCGGACAAAGAAACAATTGGTCGATCAGTGGTCAATTATACTGCTCCAGTGGTGGTCTCATTAGCTGAGTGACACTTTGTGGAGAAATATTCAAATAATAGAGCAAATCGTGCGACTTCTGAAGTCCTTAAACTCGATGGCACTCAAATACCGACTGTGGATCACATAAAGGTTTGGAGGTGTCACCTTTGACAGTCTGTTTCACTCCTCAACTCATGTCACAGCAATTACGCACAGAAACCTTGTTGGCCGGACAAAGTAACAATTGGCCGATCAGTGGTCAATTATGCTGCTCCAATGTGGTCTCCAACACTGAGTGATACCCAGTGGAGAAATATTCAAAGCTGCCCTACGGACAGTAACAGGCTGCATGCAAATAGCCTCGGATCACCACCTACACGAGGTAACGAAGGTCCTCCCAGTCAAGGAACATAATGTCATGCTGACTAAACAGTTCCTCCTGTTATATCAACGGAGCAGTCATTCCAACTTTAACATCACATAGTTGAATGCTTCGCCGCGGCATGTCAGGAAGGACCTTCGTGTATACGAAGATATGTGAAGGATCCCTTGGATCCTTATTCGTATACAGAAGCTTTGAAAGACATTCATAAAGACCGCAGTTTCAGGTTACCGCATGAATGACGTTCTTGGAGGTTGCAACAGGCTGTCCAGTCCACCATACTTAGCTTAGCTCAATGGATTTATAGAATAACCCTTCCAGTATCTTCTTCTTCTCTTTTTCAGAAAAAGTATATAACTGATAAATTCCAAAAATTACTTCTGTAAAAGTCAAACTAAAGCAAATAATAGGAATCGTAAAAAATAGTCCTTCTTACACTCTTTTTCAACACTTCCAGGTTGCTTCTACGCAGAAGAAGAATATTTCATAACTGGAAGGAATTTTGTAATAAATAGTATGAATAGAACATGTCTTTTTTCATAAACCAATTTTCATTCAGAATAAGAAAATTTCATAAATAGCATGGAACATGTAACATTACTCTTTCATAAACAATTTTTCTTCCAAAATAAGAAAACTTCATAAATAGTATGTAATATAGCGTTTTTCAAAAAAAAAAAAATAGATATTTTTCCAAAGAAATTTTCAACAAATTTTCAATAAATATAAAAATTAAATGAAAATTTAAATTCTAGATTTTGTTTGAAAAAAAATATGAAATAAATTCATACTATTTAAGAAATTATTCTTAAATTATTATTTACCTTAGGCAATGATGAAAATAGTTCATAGAATTTATGTAGACACTTCTTGGTGCCTAGAACTTTTTTTACTTCTCTCCAAGTTTTTTTTTTGCTAAAAGTTTAAATTCTGTTTCGATTTCTTAGTCTGAACAAAGTATTTTAATCTGGTAATTAGTTTTATTAATTACTGTTCTTGTTTTTCAACTAACGTAACATTTAATTGAATTAATTCCTAATATAAGTTTTTTATAGTTTTCATATTTGCTAAGCTTTTTTCATAACACTTTAGGCTTTTTTAAATAATTATGTATACATCACTTTTTTCTTGAGTTATTTTTTAATTTATTAATAATAGTTTTTTTTTTTGTTATTTAGTAAAATTGTTATTTTTAAAACTAAAAAAATTAACAATACTTTTATTATATTTATATTTTCTTGTAATACAATTAAGTTTTCACATCACATGGTTTAAGAGTTATATTTTTTTAATAATTCTTTTACGGTTTCTGAGGTTTTTCATTAAAAAAAAATAATATTTCTATCCAAAAGCTTTTTATCAGATCAAATTATTAAATAATTTAGCAAAATACTTGAATACATATCTAAATTTGTTTCCTACTCGTAAACAAATTTCGCTGGCGAAATTTTAAATAAAATATATTTATTTGCTATCAAATATCATTAAGAAATAGTTGTAAATATATTTAAAGCTTAATTTCTTAAGAGAGTTTTTTCATCATTTTATTTTGTGCAAAATTTTTGTTATTTGTTTATATTTTAAAGAATTTTCTTAAAGAACATTTTATACAGAAAGGAGTTAGAGTTATTTTTTGATTTTAGTTATAAGAATCTCGGTTTAGAATTTATTAAAATGGAGTTTAAAAGCTTTTAATTAAGTTTTTTTGTCATATTTTTGTGACACATTCCTGATCTTTCAAAGAATTTTATTTTAGAAAATTTTAAATTTAAAAAGTTGAAGTAGTTTTATTTTTATTTTTTAAGAGCTTGTTTTAGAATTTATAAAAAAGAGCTTTTTATAAGCTTTATTTGTTATTAAAAAAGTTTCAGTAAGTTTAGTTATTGGTTTTTTTTTATACAATAGTTTAATGGAACAGATGTTTTAGTATTATCTTTTCATTTATCTGAATCTAAAAGCTTTTGAAAAGCTTAAATTTTTTTGCCAAGTTTTTAAGAAAAAATAAAGTTCTCTTAGCGAATATTTTGTGGTTATCATGAGAGTTTTTGAAACATTATGCTTTCTTAGTAAAACATTTATTTAATTTAATTACACCTTTTGAAAAGCTCACATTTTTGGAGAGCTTTTATAAAAAAATTATGATTTCTTAGTGAAACTTTTATATAATTTAACTGAAGCATAAATCTTTTTAAAAACTTAAATTGTTTGAAGAGTTTTTAAGCTTTTGAAAAGCTTAAATTTTTTGAAAAGCTTTTTGGGGAGTTTTTATGGAAAAATTATGATTTCTTAGTGAAACTTTTATTTTATTTACATTTAAAAAGCTTAAATTGTCTGAAGAGCTTTTATGCTTTTGAAAAGCTTTCTTCTTTTTTGGGGAGTAAAAATTTTGCGGCCATTTGTTTCTTTTAACTGATAAATATTTTTAACGTTCAAGGTTGTCTGATGGCAGTTATTTGTTTTTATCAGTAATTGCGTAGAAAATCGTATGACAGCAAACCTTTGGAATCGCTTGAAAAATTCTACAGAAATCCAAAGTAAGTGAAAAGAAGTGGAAATTTTCTCTAAAATGTTTGCATATAGCAGAGCTTTCGAATTAGAATATTAAAAAGTTGAAAGTTTGTATTTAGCAGAGCTTTCGAATGATCAACCGTTAGCGTATTAATTGAAACTTTACAGTTTTTTCGAATATATTTTGTTTTCAACTTTTGTATCTTTAAAAGAGCTTTTGAATGTATTTTATATAATTTTTTTTTGTTCAATCGTTAAAATTATTTGAAGCTTTTAAGCTTTTTTTTTGTCACAAAAATAAAAATTTGTATATTTAAAAGGTCTTACGAACGGTTTTTATATAAAAATTTCTCCGATATTTAGAGGTTTTTTTTGAAGGCTAAAAGCCCTTTTGTTAAAGAACATAAATACATTTCTTTTTTGCATTAAAAAGAGCTTTCGAATCGATTTTGTTTGCAACTTTTTTCGATCGTGTGAAGATTACTTAAAGCTCATAATACACAAATACTTATTTGTAAAAATATCTCTTCAAAGTTGGAAATAATATTTTCCCAAGGTCTTGAGAGTTTAAATCAATTGTGAAAGCCCTAGTACGTTTTTTATGGCAGAGCTTATAAAATTAAATTTTCTAAAACGAGTCTACTTTATTGGCATTTCGCTTTAGATTTGAGTTAATTTGTAATAATTGTTTGCAATTTCACAAGAAAGTAACGAAGTACTTAATAGAAATTTTCCGTAATAATTGATTTTAGTCCAGTAAAATTAAGAAAGTACTTCCAATTGTACTTCCATTAAGTGCTATTCATTATCTTCCCTGAAAGTGATGTTTAATATCTTCCAAAGAGTAATCTATTCTATTTTGAACTAGTAGTGCAGTTCGGACCTATTATAGGTATATCAATGCTTTATTTGACTTTGACCTTTGACTTATAATTCTCTTCAAATCCTTGTAAAATCATTCCAGATTTGAAAATATTTGTAAATCTTTCTATTATCTTTTAAATTATGAATTTTCCTAAAATTTAAAACCTCTCTGTTGCTTGTTTGCTCCTTCAATTAACTTTAATATTGCAAATACTCTCTTGCTTTTATTTTAATAATTCTCTTTAAATCCTGATTTAAAAATATCAATGAATAAAACACTTCATTATCTTTTAGATGAAACTTAAAAACATTTAAATGTCCTCCTAGGCTTTGAAAAACTCTCTTTTGCTTAGTAGCTACTTTTCTTAAATTGAATATTTCATTAAGCTCCCTTGCTTTCTCTTTAAATTCTGGTAAAATTATTCCTGATTTGAAAATATCTTGTGAATATTTGTAAAAAATTAAATTAAATTAAACTTCTAATTTAAATTAAACTTCTCCTGAAGAAAACACTCTCTTTGCTAAGTCGCTCCTTTTCTTAAACTTAATTTTCCATTAAACTCTCTTGCTTATCTCAAGTTCTACTTTTTAAAACTTTTTATATAAAAATGTGCTTTCTTTTCTTAAATAAAATTTAAAACGCTTTCTTTTTTATTTTCTCTTTTTTTGTTAAATATATTTTTTATTACTCTTTTTTCGAATTTGTTTTCTCTTTATTATTTTGTAGTGTTTTGCCTTAAAAATTAAGCATATAGTTTTTGTTTTTTTTCGTTATAATTAGCTAAAAATAATATAAAATTTATAGTAAAATTTAAAAATAGTTAAATAAAAACTCAAAAAGAATTAATACAAACAAAAAAATTACAATAATAATAATAATTAAATTATATAATTAACATTTCTTTCTCACCTAACACTTAAGCTCTCAGTTGGTTTTGTTTTTCTCCTAATCTTTGGAAAATAATTCTGTTTTTTGTTTTCTTTTTTTAAATTTATTGTATTTCTTTTTCCTTAAAACTTAGTTTTTTCTTTTCATATTAAGCTTAATTTTACATTTAAATACTTCTCCTGCTAATTCTCTTCTCTTTAATCCTTGTGTATAGTAATTTTAAAACAAGTTTTATCAAATCTCTTAGGTTTAATACAGTTTTATAATTTTGATTCAGCATTAGGGAATTTAGGACTTTGTTCGTCTTGCTGCTGAGGGCTGGCTAGAGTTTTAACAATTTTCGGTACAATAGTAATAGGTTGATCCTCTTCATCTTCCATATCTTCACCCTGTTCCTCATCGATGGGTGTTAGAGCCTCCACATGCACCGGAGTATCTTCCGATGTTGTGCATCTCTTTAGGCAGGGAGCCATAAAACTAGTTACAGTGGAAATGGCAAATAGACCACCAGCCATATAGAAAGGTAAATCGTAACTTTGGGTGGCATCGTATACAGCACCGGCCAAAGGTGAGCCAATAATGGCGGCAAAACCTCTGAAGAGAATCAACAAACCAAAAGCATTTGTCAACTTATCCAAACCCAATAGATCGACCAAAATAATTGACGTTAGAGAGATATAGCCGGAAATGGCAATGCCAAAGAATATGGACATGGCCACATAAGCACCATAGCTAACACACAAGGGTGTAAGGAAAACGGAGACGGTACAAATCAATAGACAAACGTTATTCAGGAACAAAGAATTGACCTGGGGAAAATCAGCTACATAACCGCAAACCACACGACCCACGGTATTGGTAATACCAATGATGGAGATAAGAAAGGAGGCAGAATCAGGATCAATACCGGATATCTTGGCAGCATCGACCAAATAGAAGAAGGGTACATACAAACCAGCCATGCCAAAAACATTAGAAATACCAATTAGCATGAAAACAGGATCCTTAAGTAAGCTAACATCCAACATATTGTTAATGACGGATTTAACTGAATCGGGTATACCCAGGCAGGGGCATAGATCATATTGCTCACGTTGTCTTTCGGCTTCCATAAGAGGATCTAATCTTTGTACACTTTGCATGCTTTTCTCATATTTAGTTAACGACAACACCGATTGACGATAGTTGGCCAGGGATTTTTGGGATTGGTATTGCGGTAGGTTGGTAACTGAACCCGAATAGAAAATATCTTTTCTGGACATGGGTCTAACCATTTTACCCGTTTCTTGACGTTGTGACAAAGACATTTTCGAAGCAGTCATACCCATTTCCATGCCATTTTCATCTAAATCAGCACGTGAGGAGGCGCGTATGGCGGCCAAAGACGGTTGAAATCTTTCGGAGGCTGAGGTCTTGCGTGATCTTTGGAATGAGGGCACTGAACCATTTTTGGGAAGACCTTGATGGGGATCCATAAGGAAAGCTGGTTGTGAGGCATTGCGTGTCATGGGATCCGATGAATTGTAGGGACTAGTGCTGGATTCCGAATTGCGATGTTGTCTTTTAGGTTTAGCATCCAAATGGCCATTGCTGTCATTGTTATTGGGTGGACTTTGTTGTTGGCTATTTTTCAAATCCACTACTTTGGCCTCAGTAATGGTGGGTAGTGTAGAGACCGGTTGCAAACCACCCGACGAGGCCTGTTGAGCCAAAAGTTCTAGATTTAATGAAGAATGAACACCTGGATCGGCATTTAAAGGCATTTTCATTTTACGCTCCATTGAACCATCGGGCAGCTGAACCATAAACGAACCAGCAAAAGAGCCTCTTTCCAATTGCAATTGTTTCTCCTCATACATGCGTTGCATTAAAGGTTTAACCTTCTTTTTCTTGGGATATTTCAAAGGTCTCATCATGGCACCAAAAATTGCACAATTCAAAATCATCCCAGCGAATATTAACAAAGAATTCTTCCAGCCATACTGCTGCAATAGATAAGTAGCTAAAGGAGCAAAGGCAAAGGTACCAAAACCGGAACCGCAAACAGCTATACCAGTGGCCAAAGAACGTTTAGTCTCAAAATAATAACCCACCGCTACTACAGCAGGCAAATAGATCATACCAAAGCCGAAACCACCTATCACACCATACGTTAACATCAGCATATTCACTGAAGTACTAAGAGTACTCAGAGCAAAGGCTATACAGGCCACTATACTGCCCGCTATACACACCGTTCGACAGCCATACTTATTGGCCAGAGCTGAAACTATGGGACCAGCCGCTAGATAAACACCACTCAATAAACTGCCAACCCAGGCCACTTTACCCTTGCCTTCGCCAAAGTAAATGACAAATTCTTCCATAAAAATACCAAACGTATAGGCGATACCATCGACCACCATGTTGCACATGAAGGAGGCAAAACAAATGACCCAGCCGTAGCCACCGTCCGGCGGTGGTGGCAATTCATCATATTCACTGTATTCATCATCTTCGGGGCTGCCAGCAGCACCCTCTTGCATATCGGCGGTTAGACGGGCCGCTTCTTCGCAGGCTAATTCACTGTCGGTACGATCGAATTTACGCAAACGGGCCGAGGAGCCAGTTTGGGGCATTGTGTCGGCCATGTTGTTTTTGTTTTCAAAATTATTTTTTTTTTTTAAATTTTTGTTAAATTTGTGAAAAGTTTTTTTAAAATTAATATTTTGAACAATTTTTTAAAGAAAGAAATTGAGAAAACCCCCAAAACAGTTTTATGCCTCGAGTGTAAACAGGTTTGTGTAAGGAAAGGTGTGTTGGAGGGGAGATTGTAGACTTATTTCACTTGGCTGTCATGTTGTAGTATTCGGGGGTATTTTCCGTTTAAATTGCAGGAAATTTTCTTTTAAATTTATTTATTATTTTTGTTTAAATTCTTTTGTTTCTTTCTTGTAGCACAGCACAGCACTTGTGTTTATTTGTTTTTTTTTTTATAAATATATTTGTTGTTGTTGCTTTTGTTTAAGTTTTCAGCATTAAATGTATTTTCTTAATAATTTTTCTTTCTTTTAGCACTAAATAAATTCAAAATTTCTTATTTTTTTCTAAAGATTTTGTGCTTTTTTTCTTTATAATTTTAAATTTTTTTAAATTATTTTTTTTTTTTTTTTTTTAAATTCAAATTTCTTTTATTGTTTAACACTTTCGATGTTTATTCCTAGACATATTTTTTAAAAATGATTAAAAGGGTTTTTGCATTTATAACTTCTTTAGTTTTTTTTAATTCTACAAAAACTGCTGCTTCTGCTAACTGCTGCCTGTTTACTCTGCTGCTGCTGCTGTTCACTCTTTCTTAAGTTATAATTGTTGTTTTTTTCTTTATTTTTCGTTTAATAAAATTTAATTTTATTACTACTTTGTTTGTTGTTGTTATTGCTGCTGCTGCTGTTTCCACTATTAATTTGTTTTTGTTATTATTTACTTTGTTATTGTTTTTGTTGTTATTTTTCACATGGTTTATCTTGAAAATATTTTTTTACACCAATTCATTCTATTTGCTGTTTTTTTTCTTAATTTTTTTCTCTCTTTTTTTTTATCTCTCTCACAACACTCTTTGAATTTTGTTTGTTTTCTTTTTAATAATTTTATTTGTTGCTTTTTTTTCTCTTGAATGAAGTTTAATTTTTTTGTTTTTTTGAGTTTAAATTATTAATTAATGTTTAATTGGTTTATTTTTGTTGTTGCTGTAAAGAGAAGAAATGAAACAGGGTTAGTTTTCTAATAAGATATAAATAATATTTTTAATAATATTTTATATGAAAGCAATAACAATTCTGTTACTGAGACAAAAAGCATTGGAATTGTGTATTTAAGAATTTTTGAAAATAGTTGCCGGGTGTTTTTCTTTCTTTGCCTCTGGCGGCAGCATAATAACTGACCAAATCTAGTTTTCTTTGGACGCGTTCATACATTGAGATAACGTTTAAGGTTTTAAAACAAATTGTAATTATTTTTTTCTTGAAAATTTTGTTTTTGGATTGAGTTTTATCAAAGATTCAATCGATTCATATCCTCTGTGACAAAGAGATCGTAAAACGGTCGTGTACCCTTAACGAAACAGCAAAAGAGCATTTTTTCAATTGCAATTGTTGCTCCTCTTACTTGATTTTCATTAAAGACTTAAGCTACTTTTTCTTGGGATATTTTAAAGGTCTCATCATGGCATCAAAAATAGCATAATTCCAAATCATGTCGGCGAATATTAATAGAGAATACTTTCAAGACCTCAAAACATTTGCACGTCCCCCTCTCCTCTAAATTAGCAGCATTTGATGAGAGCATAGACCGCCAAAGAAGATGAAGTACTTTGGAAACTAAACTTTGAAACGAGATCACATGAAATGATCCTATTAAGCTGACCTGATAGTGATTCGTGAATCAAAAACTCTAAATCTAATTTCGCAGTTGTAACCCATATCGAATTTGTCTATTTCAGCTCTTATACACTAAACTCTATGAGTAATTTGAATATTATTAATTTGAATTGGCGGCAGGAAGTAATTTGGAATATAATAATGGATCTGCAATGCTAAACAGATATATTTTGCTGTCTTTTAGATCAACACGAATCACGGTCTTATAAAGACCCCTACCGTTCCATTCTAAGAGTTCCCAATAGATGGCAATTCCAAAATATGTGATTCAAAGTCTTATACAGTAAACCGCAGAATCTCTGCTACCTCAAGGCCCTGAAAATTAGCTAAATTGACATGATGATATCTTATTATTTTGAGGACGCCTTAATAAAGCAACAATTACTTTCCTCGATTTTCAATTTGAAAGCGCGATAAAACGTGCCAGAAGTTGAACGTTTCGTAGTTAATTCAAGAATGATTCTAAGGAAAAGTTCTGATCCAATAAAACTAACTCGAGCATCGATTGATTCCAAATGTAATTTCGAAGATTTTTGAGAGATTTATTAAGAGTTTTAAAAGCTCTTGCAGGTAGATACCGTTTAAAGTGGTTGCTTACGAAACGTTGAAGGATTTTTTTTGCTCCTTTATTAAAGTTTTACCAAGAACTCCTTCCTCAGAATTGAGACTTGGAATGCTTAGAAGACATCTCTATCAAAACTTTTGATAGGAGCAGATCCTATTTTGATATATTTTTTATTATTGTGGTCTATCAGAAAAAGGAAAAATTTTAGATTTTTTTGGAAAATTTCAATTTATTTATGTTCGAAATTTCGATGTATTGAAAATTGTAAAAAAATGTTAGACCCAACGATCCTTAAACATTTTCGAAAATCTCAGTTTATTCGTATATAAAAATTCGAAATTATTATCAAAAAATGTTGAAAACTTTTCAAATAATCTCTAAAACATGAAGATCTTTAAAAATATTAAAAAATTTAAATTTATTTATGTTCGAAAATTCGAAATTATATTCGAAATAGTTTTAAAAGTTGTAAAACTAATCGTCATATTATAAGGATGCTTAAAAAGTATTCGAATATTTGGAAATATTTATGCTCAAAGATCGAATCCAAAGTTTGATCAAAACATTTAGAAATTTGTTAATAATCTTTAGATTAAAAATTCGAACTTATGTTCGAAAAATGTTGAGAACTTATAAAATAACATCTAGATCTTGAGGATCTTTAAAAATTTTCATTTTTTTGTATTCAGATTAAAAGAAAACTTTTAAAGTAATCTCATGATCATGAAAATTCTTAAAAAAATATATTTATTTTCGAAAACTCGAACTTATGCTCGAAAAATGTTAATGCTTTATAATGATTTCGAGATCTTGTGGATCCACTAGAAATTTTACGAAATTCGAAAATTTTATCTTATTTAATCTTAAAACCAAAAGAAATTTTATAAAATAATCTCAAGATCATGAAGATTTTTAAACAATTTTCGAAAATTCGAACTCTATTTGAAAATTTTTTAAGCTATGATCACTAGATTATAAGGATCCCATAGAAAAGTTTTTAAATTCGAATTTTTTCAAATCATGATCACTAGATCATAAGGATGCCATAGCAAAGTTCTCAAGATCATTAGGATTCTTACAATTTTTTTTTTGAAAAATCAAACTTTTTTCGAAAATTTCTTAAGCTGTAACTTGATCACTAGCTCATGAGGATCCCATAGAAAAGTTCTAAAAGTTCGAAGTTTTTAATTCTATATCATGTTCGAAAAACGTTTAAAGCTTTAAAATTATGATCACTAGATCATTAGAATCCCAAAGAAAATTTCTAAAATTAATTTGTTTAATTCTATATCATGTTCGAAAAATGTTTTCAGCTTTAAAATCTTTGAAATTTAATCTTTTGAAATTCGAACTTATGTTTGTGAGGATCGTAAAAATATTTGAAAATTAAAATTCATTTATGTTCGAATATTCGAACATGTGTGCGAAACATTTTGAAAGCTTTTAAAATAATCTGTATATTATAAGGATGTTAAAATATGTTCGAAAATTCAATTCTTTTATATTCGAAAATTCGAACTTATATTCGAAAAATTTTAAAAATTCTTAAAATAATCTCTTAATCATAAGGAATCATAAAATTTTAATATTAATTGAAACTAGAGACGATTTTGTATATATTATTCGAAAATTTCTTAAGCTGTAAGATGATCACTAGCTCATGAGGATCCCATAGAAAAGTTCTAAAAGTTCGAACGTTTGAAGCTTTAAAATCGTGATCACTAGATCACAAGAATCCCAAAGAAAATTTCTAAAATTAATTTGTTTAATTCTATATCATGTTCGAAAAACGTTTTAAGCTTTAAAATCTTTGAAAATTAATCTTTTGAAATTCGAACTTATGTTTGAAGCTTTCTGACAATTGTAAAAATATTTGAAAATTAAAATTTATTTATGTTCGAATATTCGAACATGAGTTTGAAATATTATGAAAGCTTTTTAAATAATCTGTATATTATAAGGATGTTAAAATATATTCGAAAATACAATTTTTTGATGTTCGAAAAATTTTAAAAATTCTTAAAATGATCTCTAAATTATAAGGAATCATAAAATTATAATTTTAATTGAATATAAAACGATTTCTTATAAATTAAACAATTTCGAACGTAAAAATTTAAAAAAAAAAAAATAAAAATTTCTATGAATTTTAAAATATTTTTAATAATATTAAAAAATTTTAAAATTTTTCAAAAATCTTAAAATTCCTTTACTTTTTTTAAAATTTTTCAAAAATCGAAAAATTCCTTTACTTTTTTGAGAAAAAAATTCTAATTGAATAAATTCCTTTAAGTAACTGTCATTTATCAGTATTTCATTAACTAACCATGTTTAGTATAGTCAAGTCTTTGTCATTATTTTTATTGTTTTTTTCGTACACATTCTATATAGCGGCATAATTGTCAAAATCAAGGTGGTAGTTTTCAAAAATGTTGTTGTTGTTGTTTTTCTATTATTATTGTTGTATTTTATTTGTTTACCATTTGGCTATTTTGTTTATAAAAAAAATATCTATGTATGAATTTGTATATAAATTTGTTGTTTGTTTATAGAGTGCATTTTTATAAATTTGTCATTCATAGAAAAAGTTTTTATTTAAAAGAGAATAAAAAAAATCTGTTTGTTATTTTTATTAAAAATCTGTTATAATATGATTATTACAAACAAGTTTCTCTCATTAATAATTAAGAGCAAAATCAATAGAGTAAAAAAAAACAACAACAAGGGAGTAGCAATGAAAATAAATGAATTTAATTTAAAATTTTATTTGTAATTAAAGGTGACAACGATATAGTTTTATTTGAATTTAATTAATTTATTATTTTAATTTTTATTTTGTATAAATAATTAGCATATTTTGTAGTTTTATTAACAATGTAGTGGGTTTTATTTTATTTAATTTCTTTGTTGTTATTTATATTAACAAAAAAACACAAGTGTGTTTTATTTTAATTTTTTATTTTTTCTGCAATTTTCTGTAATTATTTATAATAATGATGTTGGTTGGTTGTTTGCTTGGTTGTATATAATAGGTAGTTTTTTTACTTCTAGTATATTAGCAAAATTTTATAGTATTTAAGGTTTTTTTTCTGAAAATGTGTAATACATTTTATCCAAAATGTTTTAAACAAAATTTTTGTTTGTTTCAAAAAAAAGGGGGTGTTTTTTTATTTTGTTTATAAAAGAATTTTTCTTTTAGGCGTATTTTTCTGTTTAGTATTTCTCTACATTTTCATATTATAAAAATTAGGTAATTAATTAATTTTTTTTTCATTCACAAGTAATTTACATTTAATATTCTAAATTCCTTGTCATAATTTTTGTTATTATTAAACATGAAAAACACTCTTAAGTTCTCTAATAATTTTTCAATTATTTAACACAACACAC